TTAGAAATACCCAAGTGTAGTGTTGCGGATTCAAAGGATGGAGAGAGAAGTCAGGAGCATCTGCAAAAAGATGACTGCACTAAGCTGAGTATGAAATAACCAAGGGAAACAACCAGAAAAAAAGCCAGATTTCTGCATCAGAAACTCCCTGATCCTGGGATGTCCACTATCTCCACTATTATTTATATTAACACTGGAAGTATTGAATAGAAATATCAGGCAAGATATAGAAATTAAAGGATTGGAGGTAAAAGATGAAAAATACGAACTACAAGCATTTGCAAATGACTTGGTTTTCATATTAGAAGAACTGCTTGAAACAAGCATTAAGCTTATGGAGAAAATAGAAGAATTTGGAAAAGTGGCAGGGTTGAAAATAAATGTTACAAGAAGCAAAAAAAAGTGGAGGACTTGGACTGCCGGACTGGACACTATACTACCAAGCAACTATATTAACATGGCTAAAAGAGTGGATAATACTTAGAGATAAAAGACTATTATACCTTCAACTTGATGGCATGCCTTTCTGTGGTATGGGAAGAAAAATACATAGATACTTTCAAAACCGCTTTATAAGAAAAGCACTTCTTCTAGAATGGGAAAAAATAAAAGCGAAAATCTATATTAAAATGGCTTTCAACAATGGAAGCATTTGCTTACCCAAATTTAATCAATTACGAGAAAGTTGTGACCTATAAAGCTAGTTTGGACAATGAAGGGAAATTGAAAGATTGACAAGATTTACAAGAACAAGGTATTGGTCTATCATGGTGGCCATACTTTCAAAATCAAACGAGATATGAAAAAGATGCTAAAACAACGGGATTTTATAAAGAACAGACAGAATTTGACCAGATACTGCTAAAAACAGATGAAAAATTGATTAAGAAACTCTATAAATATTGGTTAAACTTAAAGATGGAAGAGGAACAAGTAAAAGAAGCAATGATAACATGGGCAAAGAACTTTGGACATAATATAGAATTAGAAAACTGGCAAAGATTATGGGAAAGAAATGCTAAATTAACGAAGGCGGTGGCTTACAAAGAAAACATACAAAATGTTTTACAGATGTCATTTAATACTGGTGAGATTAGCGAAAATGTTTAAAAATACATCAGACAAGGGTTGGAAATGTAAACAAAGATCAGGTACTTATTATCTTATCTAGTGGACATGCCCTAAAGCTAAAAGATTTTGGTCAAAAATACACATATGGTTGGAAAAAATGATTAAAAAAACATATAGATTTCAAGCCAGAACTGTTTCTGTTAGGCATAATAGAGGAAACTACGAGAAAGATTGTATATATCTAATTTTGCATGTATTAACTGCAGCAAGAATTGTATTTGCCCAATATTGGAAAAATAAAAACTTACCAACGGGAGAAGAACTAATTAAGAAAGTTTTAGATTGTGCAGAAATGGACAGATTGACGTTAAAGATAAAAAAGAAAGAAGACTCATTGTACATGGGACAATTTTTACCAATGGCTAGAAAAGCGAGTTAGAAAGGAACATGATATATACTATGTAACATGGACTATATACTAGTAAGAAGAAAATTATTGAGCGATTAACTAACATATTGATTATGATAATATAGAAATTAACTCTTATTTATTGTTTTTTAAATACATGAACTCAGACAATATGCTGTTTGCTAAATATTAAGAATGTTATTTAAAAAAATCCCAACCGTAATCCTAACCCTACAAAATTAATAAAATATATACAAAAAATGAAGAAAAGAAACTCCCTGATCCTATGAATACTTATGAAACAAAAATATACAACTTTCTTTGTGAGAGTCATAAAATGGAAGAGAATCGAATGAACATAAGTCAAAAGCCTGAGGCTCCAGTGGAAGACACTGGAATAATTTGGGAATCAGTAGACTGGAGGAAAACACAATAAAGAATGAAAGGGACCATCAAGCTGAAACATATCAACCATATACAGTGAGGTGATGAAAGGATATTGAAGATGAAACGTTAATAAGACATTTCAATATAGCAAACTATGTGTACTCATCAAAGACTTCAAAAGACTGATATGAATATCAGCATTGGGTGAGAATTAATTTCTCACACTAATAAGCCTAGCAATAATTACCAAATGCAAATAATTATTGGGCAAGCATGGATGAAGCACACAAGGGAAGAATATTAAAGATAAACAAAATAGATTTCAGGACTGATTCTCAAGGGGAAATTCCTGGACTGTGATCTGCCACAGAGAATGCATTTCTTTAAGTACAGTATAATAGTTTGCATTTGCAATAAAACATAATTTCAGTTAATAAAAGATTATTATTTTACAGATAAATCTAGTTAAAGTATGCATAGCAAAACGTACCTGTAAGAGTACTAAAAAAAAGTACTGCATGTATTTCAATTCCCTCCCCCCCCCACCCCAATTGTTTTCTTCTGTTTCAAATTTTCCGGAGATTTTGACTCTGCCTCAGGCAGTTTTATCTCCTTTTGCATGCCCCTAAACATTGTACAAGTCTGCTCTAGAAAGTTGTAGAATATTTCTTTAATAACTTTAGGTATTGAATTGGAATGTTAATATATTTTGAAGTATACAGAGAATAAAAATTCTGATATTTAAATACTTGATACAGAACAAAATCTGATAAGGTAGGCCTATGTGAAGAGATAACTCTTTAAAAAACCTAAACTATATAATAGTAGGTAACTTCTAAATACTGCAGTACAAAACTTTCTAGAAAGTAGGTACTATTACAGAGAAAGTATATGTGAAATTGTAGCAAAAATCTCAAAAATCTTATGACAGCATCTGATAATCTTAGCCACTGCCCATCCTGTTTCTGGAAAGGCAGTTTCTGACCCAAAGTTGTTTAGACCTTTTCTGAACATGCTGAAAGCAAAGCTTTGAACCTGGCTCTGGAGCTAATAGATAGGTCACACAGTTGATTCAACATTGGGCATGTCTAAGTATGTCACTGTAACTTCAATATTAGGAACTTGTGTAGACCCATATAAATCATATTGCAGTAATTTAAAAATGGGTGACGGTGGCTAGCCTATTCTTTTCCAGAAAGCAGTAAACTCAGTTACCAATCTGGTAAATGGTAATAAATGTTTATAGCCATAGAGTCACATTATGCTCCAGTAAGATTGATGAATCTTTGAGCATTTCAAACAATATAGCCAACACTCCAGAAGATAGGCTTAAGATAGAGGAGTATCTGGACAGACTTGAACACTGGGTGCTATTTAACAAAATGAAATTCAGTTGTGAAAAAAGTAAGGTTCTACATTTAGGCAAGAAAAACCAAATGTATAGGTATAGTATAGGTGGTACCTTGCTCAATAGTAGTAACTGTGAGAGGGATCTTGGAGTCCTGGTGGACAATCATGTAAATATGAGCCAGCAGTGTGCTGCAGCTGCCAAAAAGCCAACACAGTGCTAGGCTGCATTAACAGAGGGATAGAATCAAGATCACGTGAAGTATTAATACTACTTTACAATGCCTTGGTAAGGCCACACTTGGAATACTGCATCTAGTTTTGGTCATCACAATGTAAAAAAGACGTTGAGACTCTAGAGAGAAAGTACAGAAAAGAGCAACAAAGATGATTAGGGGACTGGAGGCTAAAACATATAAGGAACAATTGCTGGAATTGGGTTTAGTTTAATGAATAGTTTAATGAAAAGAAGGATGAGGGGGGACATGATAGCAGTGTTCCAATATCTCAGGCGTTGCCACAAAGAAGAAGGAGTCAAGCTATTCTCCAAAGCGCCTGAAGGCAGGACAAGAAGCAACGGATGGAAACTGTTGTGATTCTGTGCCAGCCTGTGCTCCCAACAGTTGAGTCTGAGGAATCTGAGGAGGAGGTGGAGGAGGCATTTGAAGGGCCATCAGGGGCAGAGAGAGGCTCTGATGTATTACAGGACTCACAGTTTGATGCAGAGCCTGAGCCCTCCAGTTGTGTTCCTGATGAAGCTCAGCTGTGTGAGGAGAATGAGTCAGACTCAGAGGACTCACACATGATGGACATGCTAATTGATGCATGCACACATCGTCGATTAGCAAGAGTAAATCAGCAGCAGTCAATACGGCAACTCCAGAGTAAAAGGAGAAGGCACTGAGAGGCAAAGCCTTGTGACTGCTGTATAAAAAGAGGAGATGTGGGCGGTGCTGGTTGCTGAAAGCAACTGTTTGCAAAGTACTTCTTTGGATCCTGATCTGTTTGTCTTGCTTGTGACTACTCTTCTGTTTGCATCGTGTTTCCTGTGGACTATTTCCTTCATTTGGATTGAGTTTTGCTGTTTGTATTTTGGACTATTTGGCAGGTTTGTCACCCATATTAAAAGGGGTTTGTTTTGTTTTAAAGTCTCCAGCCTATTTTATCAACAGGGGTTTGGTCCTTGTGCCTTTAACAAGGACGGCTATAGGCTGGGATAGAACAGAAACTAATCAAGGAGAGAAGCAACCTAGAACTAAGGAGAATCTTCCTGATAGTTAGAACAATTAACCAGTTGAACAACCTGCCTCCAAAAGCGGTGAATGCTCCAACACTGGAAGTTTTTAAGAAGAGACTAGATAGCCATTTGTTTGAAATGGTATAGGGTTACCTGCCTGAGCAGGGAGTTGGACTAGATGACCTCCAAGGTCTCTTCCAACTTTGTTGTTGTTGCTGTTGTTATTATTATTATTTGTTCTATATGAGTATATGGTGCCCCCTAGAATAAGTATATATCACATGCTGGTGGGGGAATTTTGGAAGCTGAAGTCCACATATTTGCTGAGATTGAGAAACACTGTGTCCATACTATATATTCTGTAGCTGTTTAGGCATGCATCTGATTCATATATTAAGAGTGCTCAGGCATTCTTTTTCCCATGGGGCAATTACTAGTGCAGCAAATGAGTTACATATCTGTAAATAAATCTATTTCTGCCTGCCTCTTTTTATTATCAGTATTGGTATAGATCTTGGCTTTCAGAATGGAAAATTTTGGTTTTTCCAGGAGCCAATGAAGTCAAGAGCACCACAACTGCACTTGGAATACAGATTCTACAAGCAGCTAGGGTCTGGAGGTAAGTATAATTTCTTAATAAGTCTTCTCAGACTCTCTAAATCTGATAAGGCAGTCAGGTTAGCTTTTGTCCTTTCATTGGCAGACAAGATTTGATCAGTTTTTACTCAGCCTTTTACCCTTAAGTCAACTTGCAGCTAAAAGCGAAATAATCTGGTTAATTAATTATTTCTAATTGTTTTGCTTTAAATATATTTTAATTATTTAAATAACATAATTTTATTTTTAATCAATATTTTACTTTGTAATATCTGTATTAAATTGGGAAATTGCCATTTAGATTATGAATGCTTATTAACTAGAACATTTTTGCTGTACTAAACAGTGAAACATTTAATGATATGTATTATTGATACATAGCAAATTAGACTTTTCAGTGCAGTGACATTTAGCATTTGCCTGATAAGCTATTCACAGGTAAAGTCACCCATCAGAGTACCTTCATCCTCATAATTCATCCTTTTCAAACTGCCTTGTAATTGAAAAAGAAGTTAATGTGCTTTAGTCATATGTGGCTATAGGTTTGATACTACATACACAAGGTAAATTTAATTTTTTAAAAGGTACAATAATCTTTGATAAGGCATCATCTATTCAAACAAGATGCTCTATTTCTCATGGAGAGAGCTAGGTAAAAATTTACAAGCATTTTATACACATATTTCCTATGACTTGCATTATAAAAGTCGTCATTGTGACATAAGGTTTTGCAGAACAAATTTATAATAAATTAAGATTTCACTCATCTTAAAAATGGACTTGTTTGCTATTTTAGATATTAATGAAAGGTGTCCTTGAAGCTTTAAAGTATATCTACTGGTTAGGCTTGCAGCAAAAAGCATTAGCTATTTCCTTCATTTCTATTAACATAGTTTCATTAAAATTTTTATTTATAATAAAGTGGGAATTTGTTACAATGAAATTTGAGGACATACAGTGATTTTTAGGAGAAAAATGTTACAGGTTATGCCTTTGTACAGATATTATCGACATTCATTATTTGATTTGCTTATGAATCATTTTACCCAAAATCTAAGAGAACAGAAATCCTAATATTAAAAGCATTAATAATGTGACATTGATAGTTTGTATAGTTAATAAACCTATTAATATCTTGTATTGAATATAATGTTCTTCCATATATTTAAGCTTTTCACTTGATAGTGTTATTGTTAAATAAAAGACTGAGACTGAACTATTGTGAAATTCCATGAAGGGATGTTGTTGTCTGTTGTGTTTTTCATTTAATGATTACAACTAAGCAAGATAAATTTTCATTTGCAAATACTATAGCTAAAATAAAGAAAAACCTGTTTAGGAACCAAGTGCAATTAATGTGATGAATACCATTTTTTATTTTTTTTTAGATGGAATACCTCAGGTTTATTATTTTGGCCCTTGTGGCAAATACAATGCCATGGTGCTGGAACTACTGGGACCTAGTTTGGAAGATTTATTTGATTTGTGTGATAGGACTTTTTCCTTGAAAACTGTACTTATGATAGCCATACAACTGGTGAGTATAGCTTCTCTATAAATTGTCTTCTGCACCTTATACTTAAATAATATGAAAATATAAAGAATGCACAAAAATGTATCATTATTAGGTTCCTGGTGTGTTTTTTGAGCTTGTTTCTCTTCCTGCCAATGTTTCATTACCAGTCTAGGTAACTTCATCAGTGAAAGGGAGAGTGAAGTTTGCTAACTGTTTATAAGTGGTAGGTTATATTATCTGATTTGATTTGGACATTATTTTTCCTTGATTGATTTTGGCCATTTATTATTGTAAACTATGGAGACATCTTTGACTTTGATGCTGCTTTTATTTAAAAAAAAATAGAGAGTGATATTATCTTTTACTTTGTATTTTCTGTTTAACTAGTGCTGGTTCCTTATCTGGGTATTGATTGATAGGTTGTGATGAAAAAAGATTTGTTCGTCTTTTTCTTTTATTTTTGGTTGTTTGCTTTCTTAAATGGTTTGTACATAGAGATTATTTCAATATATCTTTTAATGGGAGATTAATTAGGGTGCTATGCCTTTAGGAATTCTCTATCATTTTTTCAACCAGTTTAATTTAAGATGTTTCCCTATTCAAAAAGTGGGTTGAACTTGTCTGTAGGAGTTTTTAATCATGACTTCTAACTGCCAGTTGACATTCCTGGATATTTTCTTTCCACGTAATGGTCTTCACAGTTCTTGCATTATATATTGTAAATATTTTTGGTCTTTGGATTTTGCTTAAATAGCTTTAGATAGATATCATTTATTTATTGCTACCTTAATGCATAGAAGTTATTGTAATTTTTTGGGTAGTTTCTGAGATGTAGGATATATGATAAAGGCATCTTTTCATGGGTGTTTAGAAAGTAGTATAGTTGTTGGTTCTGTGTTGTACTAGTGTCTTTCCATATAGCCAATAACTGCACAATCCATAATGGAAATTTACTATGAAAAAAAAACCTTTGAATTATAGTGTGATTCTGCAGGCAGTATCCTTTTTTACACATAAATGGTACAAATGTAGCAGAATATTCTCAAATCTATGGATATCTAGCAGCCAGTTAATCTACAAGACATTAGAACTATGCAGATTGAATAAAGACTTTTTCTTCTGTATCTGTTTTTTCTTCAGTGTTTCAAAGCTTTAAAATGCCTTTGTTGTATAAACTATCATTAACAACAAATAATGGCAACTAGTGTATAATTTAATGAAGGGATATTTTTTAAAAGTACTGTCTTTAATGGATAGGTATACAGTATATCACCAGCTATATTTATATTATGAACCAAAATAATATTAGGAATGTTTTGATTTTTAATTTCATTCATGAAAAATCTTGATTTCAAGATAGGAAAACACAGTACCGTATATGCCGGCGTACAAGGTGACCTGGCGTATAAGATGACCCCCGTCTTTATCGCTGAGCTGCATTCCTAGAACGTCATCTTATACGCCAGAAACTACCAGTATTTCCGGCGTATAAGACAACTCGGCGTATCAGATGACCGATTTTAGCTCTCGCGGAAGTCGCTTTATACGCCGGCATATACGGTAACTCCATTTGTTTTACAAATAAAGATGTGATAATTTTTATTTTTTAGAACTTTCTTTCATTCTGTTTGATAGATTTCCCGAATGGAGTATGTTCATTCAAAGAATTTAATATACAGAGATGTAAAACCTGAAAACTTCTTAATAGGACGACCAGGAAACAAAACACAACAAATTATTCATATTATAGATTTTGGTTTGGCAAAAGAATATATAGATCCAGAAACAAAGAAGCACATACCATATCGAGAACACAAAAGCCTTACAGGAACTGCTAGATACATGAGTATAAATACACATTTAGGAAAAGGTATGTATATATGTATGTATGTAAAAGAATGAACACAGCAGGTTCACTATTTTGGTAAGCAGCTTATATATTTGTAATTTTTTTTTTACAAATTCAGTCTATTTCATTTAAACATGTGTAAGAGTATGGATATAATTCCTTAATGTTATCAGTGCATGGCAAAATTCTAATTTTTAATATTTTTTTATAAATGGTCAAGTTCAGTTATACTCTTCTTAATGAAAGTTTAGTTCTAAACAGCTGGTACAACTCCACAGTTATCCTTTTGTGCTATTGCAAAACTGGATTTAAAACTAGTATTTCTTAGTATTTCTTATTGTGACCAGATCCAGTAATTAGGACAGTTGTTTATCCATAATGCAGCATTATTTATTAGGTTTATATAGCCATCCACCTCACATATAACAGCTCTGGGTGGCAAACACAATCACAGGTAATCCTTGACTTACGATCGTAGTGGAGCCTGTCCATTTTGGTTGTAAGTGACAATTGTAAATTGGCTCATCATATAACCAGCCTGATTGTATGATTTTGTTTGCATCAGTTGTTACATGAATCATTATGGTCATTAACTGAATTCACAGTTGTTAAATGAATGCCACAGTTGTAAAGAGAACCTGTTGTTTGCTGTGGGATATTTTTCCCCAAAACTACAAGTAAACGCTGGTTTTCAACAAAAATGTAAATCACAGTCATGTAACTGTAGGATGCTGCAAATGGCTGTGAATGTGGACTAGTTGCCAAGCGCCCAAAATATGGTCACATGAGAGGGGTCTGGCCGTTGAAGCTATGGAACCTGGTTGTAAGTATCTTTTGGGGAGTCTGGTGTAACTTTGAACAGTTGCTAAGTGACCAGTCATAAGTTGAGAACTATCCATAAAACATCAGTAGCAAATTGCAGAAAATAAAACACATTGGAAAACAAAAGAAAATAGTTATCAAGGAGAAACCAGTCAATGACAAATTCATTCAGCTCAAACCTGAAAAATAACACGGTGTCAGTTCTTCCATATTTTCCTAATGAAGATGTATATAGATTTAAAGAAGGCTTACAATTTTCTTTTCTTACTTTAGCTTGTAAATTGCTGTGAAAATTTGTTAAAATGTTGGAGAAAATGTTTTCTGGATCATTGTCTCCTGGACATCTGTAGTCAAAAGATATAGAATAAAAAAAAAAGAATCGTAACATTCTAATTAGTTCAGTGATGAATCTATGTAGTCAGTTAATGCTTTTGCATTTCATGAGATTTGTTAGGTTTACTTGATGGAGCTCTTAACTCCCAATTTGTTGTTTATTTCTAATTTTCAGAAAATGTTAATATTATTTTATACACGTTCATATTTGTACATATTTTCCATTGATTTTATACATCAGTTCAGAAATCTAGCCTTCATATTTTCAATTTACATTTTCAGAGCAAAGTAGAAGAGATGATTTGGAAGCTTTAGGTCATATGTTCATGTATTTTTTAAGAGGCAGCCTTCCCTGGCAAGGCTTAAAGGTAGTATGATTTTTTTTTTATTTGCCTTGATTCTTCTGATGTTACCAAAGTTTTACAAAATGTTTCTGAAGCAGTTAACCTGATGTTTTTTCAACTTAGGCAGATACATTGAAAGAACGGTATCAGAAAATTGGAGATACTAAGAGGGCAACACCTATTGAAATACTATGTGAAAGCTTTCCAGGTAAAGTGTTCTGCTATTGATGAGGCTATGAGGTGGCTATATTGCTTGTTGTACAATATATTATAATGCCAGATAGTGCAATTAATGCTGCAATAATTAGAGTCATAGAGTTGGAAAGGCCATTTAGGGCACCAAATAGTTTCCTGCACAGTTTGGGAATTGAAATTAAATCTGTCTAGACTTCCCTTGAACACTGCAAATGATGAGGAGCACATGAGTTCTCTGATTAATTAACTGCAGTATGAAGTTGCTCATATGGTTAGGAAGCTTTATGTAACATTCAGCCAGAATCTAGCTTCCTTCCTGCAACTTAGATTCACCATTTGCTGTCTTAAGTCTGCAACAAAAGATATCAGGTTTTGACCTAGTTTTTGTATGATACACTTAATAAGTATTTTAAAGAATGCTGACTCTTCTAATATTTCTAGTATTCTGTGAACCTGTTTCACTGTCACTGAATTATTTTTAAAATTAAATGTCTAGAACTGGACATAGTATTTCATATGGTATCCTAACAAAGTAGAATAAAATGGAATAATTACTTGCTATGATTTGGTTTGTTGCTGTCATTAAATTTACTTTAAACTTTAAATTCACATTGCTGCCTATATAGTATTCAGTTTGCAATTATTCAAAGACCTTTTTTTACAAGTGCCTTTACTAAGGCAATTTATCCTCCAGTCTAATTACCATGTTTCCCTGAAAATAAGACCCGGTCTTATATATATATTTTTTTTTGCCTCCATCTTTCCACCCCCGCCCTAGCTTGATTTTTACATGTGTGCCTCGCCCCAAAACTAGGGCTTATTTTCGGGGTAGGGCTTTTATTAAGCGCACATGTAAAAATCAAATTAGGTCTTATTTTCGGAATAGGTTTCATTTTCGGGGGAAACATGGTACATACAGTGCATTAAGAAGTATTCAGGTCCCCTTCATTTTGTCAATTTTGTTATGCTACAGCCTGATTCTATAGTTGTTGAAATTCATTTTTTTCTCATTAATCTACACTCAGTACCCCATACTGACAAAATGAAAACAGAACTTTTGAAATATCTTTAAATTTATTTTAAAAAACTGAAATATCACCTTGGTATAAGTATTCAGATTCTTTGCAACAACACATTAAATTTAGCTCTGATGCTTCTCATTTCTCTTGATCATTGCTGACATGTTTCTACACCTTGATTGAAGTCCATATGGTAAATTAAATTGATTTAACATGATTTGGAAAGGCACACATCACTCTGTAGAAGGCTGACAATGCATATGGTAGCAAAGCAAAAACCATGAGGGCAAAGAAACTGCCTGCGGAGCTCAGAGACAGGATTATTGCAAGGCACAGATCTGGGAAAGGCAAAATAAAATTTCTGCTGCACTGAAGGTTTCTAAGAGCACTGTGGCCTCCATAATACTCAAATGGAAGGGGTTTGGCACAACCAGGATTCTTCCAAGAAACGGTCACCTGGTCAAACCGAGCAATCGGGAGAGAAGGCCTTAGTAAGAGAGGTGATCAAGACCCCGATGGTCACTCTGACTGTGCTCCACAGATCCTGTGTGGAGATGGGACAGAGTTTCAGAAGAACGACCTTCATTGCAGCCCTTCACTGATCTGGGCATTATGGCAGAAAGGCTAGATGGAAGCCTCTTCTCAGTGCAAAACACATGAAAGTGCATTTAAAGTTTGCAAAAAAGCACCTGAAGGACTCTCAGATTGTAAGGAACAAGATTCTCTGGTCTGATGAAACCAAGATTGAACTATTTGGCCTTAATTCTAAATGTTATGCCTGGAGGAAACCAGGCACTGCTCATCATCTGCCCAATACCATCCCAACAGTGAAGCATGGTGGTGGGACCATCATGGTGTTGGGATGTTTTTCAGCAACAGGGACTGGGAGACTGGTCAGGATTGAGGGAAAGCTGAATGGAGCAAAGTATAGAGGTATCTTCAATGAAAACCTGTTCCACAGCGCTCAGGACCTCAGACTGGACCAAAGGTTCACTTTCCAACATGACAACAATCCTAAGCACACTACCAAGACAACACAGGAGTGGCTTAGGGACAACTCTGTGAATGTCCTAGAGTGGCCCAGCCAGAGCCCTGACTTGAGCCCTATTGAACATCTCTGGAGGGATCTGAAAATGGCTGTCCACCGATGGTCACCATACAACCTGACTGAGCTTGAGAGGATTTACAAGGAAGAATGGCAGAAAATGTCCCAATCCAGATGTGCAAAGCTTGTTTCGTCATACCCAAAAAGACTTGAGGTTGTATTTGCTTCTAGAGGTGCCTCAACAAAGTACTGAGTGAAGGGTCAGAATACTTAGGCATTGTGATGTTTCAGTTTTTTCTTTTTAACAAATTTACAGGCATTTAAATTTCTGTTCTGTATTGTATTGTATTGGGGAACTGAGTATAGATTAATGAGAAAAAATGAATTTCAACAACTGTAGAATCAAGCTGCAGCATAACAAAATTAACAAAAGGGAAAGGGGTCTGAATACTTTCTGAATGCATTGTATGTACATTTCAGTATTGTTCCCTGAATGAAGAATTTTGCCCTATTCTACTGCTTTTAACCCATTTCTCTAACATTATGCTCTTTAATCTTGGTGTTTATCCCATCTTCCACCCCTCAAATGAGTGTTTCTTGATTTTTGATGAACACAATGAAAAAGAAGAAAGTAATGAATTTGCTTATCTGGTTAATTTTTTAAAAATATGTTCAGTTTTCCTTGTTTATGTTTGTCAGAACATTTTGCTGTTTTATTTGTAGTTGGAATCCTAAGTTATTCCATCTATAACTCAGTAGAAGTATCAGTAATTTAAAAGCATGTGCTACTCTTGTTACGTGAAGAGTTAAATTGATTATTTGAATTCTTGTATATTTGTTAACATGCCATGAGGAATATAAGAAGTGATAGTTTTGAAACCATGTTCCCAAATATAAGTGACTCTGTTCATTACCTATCAAACAACTTTGTATATACATCAAGTCTTCTTGTTGAAAGAGTCTTCAAAGGTGTTCACTATTTCAGCAAACATTTTCAAATGAAGCAGTGAAACTATCTCAATTCTGTAATCATCTTCATGAAAAACATCCAGGCAAAAATAATAAAAACTTGGAATATTTCAGAAATCTTCATGGGCTATTTATTAAACATTAAACAATACTTTAAAAAATGTTCTAAGAAGGCCAAACAGACTTATTCATTTTATGGTATTTCAGAGTTTATTGCTAACATAGCATTGATAATGCTATGATTGCAGGAAGTTATTTCTATAGTAATGCATCAGGAACCAACCAAAATACTGAAACTCTTACCAAATAATAGTACAGTGGTACAAAGGAGCATTGATGAAATGGGTAGTGATATTAAAAAGAATAACTTTCTCCCTACATTTGGATAAAGCTGTGGACAGCAAAGCTTTATTAATGGACTATATACTATATTTTGAAGATAACTTTATCCTATAAGAAGATATGCAGCTACAAAAAGTCTTATAGCTATAGCAAATCAATTTTGCTGCATTAAAAGCATACTTTGAAAATGCCAGTATTCCATTAAGAAACATTATTGCTTGTGTAATTGATAGAGTTCTATGGAAGAAAAATATTGCAGATTTATGGCATTTTTGAAGAAGCAGCTCCAAATGGTTTCTGTATTCACTGTATACTTCAGAAGAATCATCACTTTGCTGACCATTTTATTTCCAAGAGTACACAACTCACTAAATGTGGTAAATGAAATAAATAAGATTAAATTTAATTTCATAGGAATAAATTATTTCAGCAACTCTGTTAAGATAATAAACACAAGTCTGTTCATTTTTTAAACATGGATATTTGGTAGATTTTTAAGACAACTGTTTGATACAGTTTGTGGAATTATTCAAGATTCTGTCATATAGAAAAAAAGTCGGCAATAAATACTAAATTATGAAAAAATATATTATTTACTTGGCTGGAATATTTCAGAAATTTAATGAGATTAATTTGAAACATCAAGATAAGCACTTGATGCACTTAAGGACTGAAAAAATGTTTCAATATATTTTATTGCTATAAAAAATATACCACAATGAATGCACAAACCACTGTTCCATTTCTCTTTTAGCCAGATCAAATTTTGCTCTCATGAATTACATTGGTCAGTCTTTCCATTACATTTATAAAGAGCCACTTCAAAGGTTAAAAAATAATAATTGCTTCCATTCAGGATTTGATATCTGAGGTATTTTTTTTCAACTGCCCAGTATCTCGTTTGCTACATCCTAATGCTGATATACCCAAAGTTGTTATAACTCAAGAAGTTCTAAGTTTTCAATACATCATTCAACATTATATATGCAATTTTAAATGTTAATTCTATTCTGAATACTATATTGATTAAAATACAAAACCTAAACCAGAACAAAACAACCAAAGAGTAGAAGGTTCAGATCACCTATGTTAAATTTCCAGCACATATCTGCTGCTCTAGCACTTTCTGAGGTGTCCAAAAGGCATGAAAAAGAATTTTTTTGATGAACTAACTTCACTTACAGTTTGTAAGCATATCAATTAAGATCCAAGCTTTTCAGTACAGCTGGTGGAACTTCAAAAATTGTGTGTAAGAACACAGAAAGTAATTCATATAAAAGTATTACCCAAAAAAAAACAAAACAAAGGTTTCATTTTGTAACCTGCATCATGATGTTTATGGCATGGCATTTAAATATACTGTGAATATCTACAAATTACAAACAGAATTTATTTAGAAGATCTGGCATTCTGTTTCATAAATTTTATTTTCAGAAATTGAAATAAATTTCTACTACAGAGTTTCTCCACTGAAAATTACATATACATTCCCCAGTGATTTTGAGATTGTTAATTTCTGTTACAATCCTGTGCAGACACATATTTCAGTTCTACTCAGAGAAGATACTAATGCTGTAGAAAATTTTCAGCAACATTGTACTGTAGGAAGAAGATAATTAGCATTGTATTGGTTACATAAGACTATATCAAAATGACGTAGTCAAAAGATGTACCTATTATAACTTGTATGGGTTTGTTAGATAATATTAATGATGGCCTTCCCTTTACTGAATGTGTTCAGGTGGATGCTGGACAGCCATTTGTCAGAGGTGCCTTAATTTGGGTTCCTGTATTAAGCAAAATATTGAAGTAGTTTCCATGTTTTTCTTTTCTTTTCTTTTATTAAGTCTATGCAAATAATTTGATGCATTACAATCTGAGTGACACATTAATTGATAAATTGTGCTTGCTTAATCATTCCATTCCTATATTTTGGTATACTAATGGCATTAGGAAAAAAAAAACATGTTACTTTTAGTCAAACAATCTTTGACTAACAATTTTTCTATACTCCCTTCTCTCTTCAGATCTTCTAATCACAAATTTGTTAGAAAGACATATACAATTTTAATAAATATACTTGATAAGATTGGAAATATGTGTATTGAATGCTAATTTATAAAGATATTTTCTCTTTTTATGCTAAAAAGTTGAGGCTTACAGTAATTGAACACTATTTTTTCTAGCAGTTAATATAACCAATGCTTCTTTATTGCCCTAGAAGAAATGGCTACATATCTTCGTTATGTGAGAAGGCTAGATTTCTTTGAAAAACCAGATTATGACTACTTAAGAAAGCTTTTTACAGACTTATTTGATCGCAAGGGTTATATGTTTGATTATGAATATGACTGGATTGGTAAACAACTGGTAAGTATAGTTCAATATTTTTTTATATTCTTAAAAAATTGACTTTTCTAATAGACAGTATAAAAATGTAGTAACCTTTATTTAGCTTACATTGTATTGCTTAGGTAATGTTTTATTGCTCCATTCTTTATGATAAGATTATATGCTAGCTTTCTATGCATTGATGCAAAGTGGCTGTAAAAGGCATACAATAGTTAAAATTTTGTAAAAACCATTCAATTCACTATTAAAACTAATTCAAATTAGAATGGCCCTGCTAAATAGAAGATGTTGATTCATTCACACAAAACCACCCCCTCCCCTCTCTGCTAAAAATTATATTGTGTGGGTGAGAGAGACCGAACTATGGCACATTATTACTCCATATTCAATTTACAATCAGTACTGTTCCAGTATCCCATAGTACAGTGGTTCTCAACTATTTTTCACTACAGACCCCTTTAAATACCTTTTGTGGCCATAGACCATGACACAGATCCCAAGACTTAACTCAAGATTTAAATCAACATTTCTTCAAGCTTTCCCAGAACCCCTGTGATGACATTGTGACTCCCCAGGAGTCTGTGGACCACAGGTCGAGAACCATTGCCACAGTATATTTTAATGAACATCTGTTGACTTTTTTTCTTAGAAGAACTTTTCACTTGCCTCAGTTAAATTCCATTCTTTTATGTTCAGCTTCTTTTTTTAACCCAGCAAGATAATCTGAGTATTATCTCTTTCTTTTAGATTATTGTTAGGACAGTTTTGTGTCACCTGAATTTTGTAGGTCCATTGCCTCCCTTTTCTCATGCAAGCGGTTTAAAGAATAAAGAGATTTACTGAATTCCATGTAGTACTTTGCTTCAATTTGTTGAGAAAACATTGATGAGCACTCCTGAATTATAATTTTCATACACCTATGAAACTAATAAATTATTTTAAGATACCATTAACTTATTATAAGTTAATCTTATAACAAACCAATGAAATTATTCCCCTTTGTCCACATGTTCCAATACTAAAGGCTTGCAAGTCAAGTTATCTTTCACTATTTCTCAAAAAAAAATAATCTTTCACTGTTTCTCAAAAAATAATAATAATAATAATAATTTGTTGTCCCAGTTTTCTTATTATGTACCTATAATGCATTCTGTGCAGCCTACTCCAGTGGGTTCCATCCATTCAGATCCTGCGATAACTTCCAATAGAGAAGCACATCCACACCGAGATAAGATGCAGCAGTCCAAAAATCAGGTATGCCTGTTTCATGTTGCATTGTAATAGTAATAGCTTGTGACTAAAGTTATATATCATTTGTTTCTTTGCAGAAACATTTATTAATATCAATGTTTTGACTCTAGACTTTAATCTTGTGTAATACTATATTGTACAATATAATGCTAAAAGTTATTATTGTTAGTACAGGCATAATTAAAAGGAATTTGAAAGTTTAATAGTGGATTTGAGATTATCCCATTGCAGTCTTCAAAGGGAATTTCTCCGTCTTCACAGTGGTTAAACATATTATCATGGGAATTAATTAGAGTTCTGTATAATCAGTATCCTCTTTAGGTCAGGATTTGAAGCCAGCTTCAAACTCATACTTTACATATTTTTATTGCTGAATTCTGTTCGTTTGGGGGATAATACTGATAATAATTTATTTGGTCTAAGAAAGGAAAAATTCATCTGTAGAAGTAGTCCCACTTTCATTTGATCTTTTTATAATCATTGAAGTTGTTTATTTTGAATCTTCTGAATCTATTTTTTTTTATTTTAAAAACTAAAATAAACAATGAACTTTAAATGTAAAATTAACATTATTATTATAATTCCTGTAACTAATTTTGATTTCTTAGAATTTTCGGAATGAAAAATAACCACATGGAAAATATTTTTTGTCAGCAAGAATGAGTGATAACATACTATACTGTATTTTATCTTAATTTTTGTGTTTTTATACACTCAGGTTTTTCCAGCTCTGTTGCATGGAACCTGAGAAATGGAAGTGGGGAAAGAAAGAAAGAGAGGGAGGGAAGAAAGCAAGGATGGAAGGAAGGGTAGACATGAAATAACAGAGTGGAAGGAAGGGACAGGAAGAAAGGAAAGGAAGGGAAGAAAGGAAGATTTCCAGCACTCCCTACCAGCTTCCTACAAGGAAACTCAATAGGGAAGCTGGCGGGAAGTCAGAAGTTGCTTCTGCTCCAACTGTTCCCCCCCCCCCCGCTGCTTGTGGTCATCTTGTTTCTCTGTTCCTCACTAAAGAAATACAGTATCTCTGAAACAGTGATCCATTGGGTCACAGGTTTGCTAGTAATAAAGTGTATATTAATTTTGCCATCTCGACATTATCTTTAAATATAAAATAAGTTATAACTTTAAAATATAGTAAGATAGGTTATGGACATATCATGTTTTAGTATTTAGGCATTAAATTTGACTATAATTCAATATGTATAAGTTAAGTGTGCGTGCCATGGAAATACTGAAGTTCTTCTCATTTTATTATTTTGTGCTCCTCAGTGAAAATTCTTGAGGTGTTTATGAAATGGGAAACAAAACAGTATTTTCAATAGAACAGCCCACCTAAAACATTCTGTAGAATATTTTAAGTTGGCTATGTCCAGCTATTCCATGTCTTAATGGAACAGAACTAAAAATGTTTCAAGTATTGTGGCCATTGGTAGCAATGGACACTCAGAACAAGTCCCTTGCCCCTTTGTTTTTCATCCATATGAGGATGCAAGAATAAGTAGGATAGCAGTCTATTATTACAGCTTTCTCCCCAAAAGTGTGTGTACATGTGTGCGTGTGTTCTTTAATTAGCTATTAGGTTCAGTTTGGTTCAGTAAGTGAAATCAACATAAAATCATGTTTGCATTTCTAAATGCATACTGGAGATTTCTTATTTGTAGGCCGAAGATGATGCCCAGACTGCATACAGAAATCTTCAGCAAGCTACACCAAGACAGCAACTTTTCATCACTATAAATGCACTCTGATAACTCCACATCAACAAGCAAAATAGATAAGATCAGAAAATAACTATAATACTCTAAAACAAGATTTAAAAAATGAATCCCCAAAGAGGGTTTGCTTTAGAGAGCACACAGATAGAATATAAACTAAGCAACACAAGCATCAGCTACAGTGACTCCAGCCTAATCGCAAGTCCCTCACAGCACTCCTGTTCTTCCTTTTATTCTTCCATCAGGAAAAGTTCAGTCGGGAATGGGTAATGATTTAAACATGTGGTGTGTAATTACCTTCCCACTGCTTTGTTCCAGTAGTGCATTTCTCTGTTACCTAAGCATACATTAAACTTGATTTAGAAAATAAAATCCCAATCATAGGAAGCAAGAAACACTCAAGTTGCTTGAAGCAATACTTGAAATGATGACAATAAAAAAAGCTGAGTTTTGTTTCATTCTCAAACTCTCAAAACACTCAGATCATGGGTGTTTTATTTCAGCAACATATTTCTTGATCAGCTGTTTCATAATCAAAATGGTTCTCATTGGAATCATTTTGCATGCCTCTAATTATTCAGAATAATTTAGAAATTAGTTTTCTAAATAAAAGTGTATAGTTTCCAAAAATTAGTTTCCCAAATATTTTTATTCTGTATGGAATTCCATGTTTGAAGTGTTGTTAAACTCATTGTTATGCATCTTTTTTTTTAAAGGAGGGGGCGGACTTTAAACTGATTTTTTTTTTGCATTTGTACATGTTTTAGTATATGTGCATAGGCTTCTATGAATTTTTGTGCTTTTTATTTAGAATAAAATACAATTGATTAGCTGCATGGTGTATTTAATATATTTTGGGTTCTTTTTCCTCTTCTTGTATGCATGCTTAATGCATTATATTACTGGCAGTCAACAGACCACAGGGCAGCTTGGGACCCCCATCAGGCCAATCCCCATCACTTGAGAGCTCACCTGGCAGCAGATAGACATGGTGGCTCGGTACAGGTATTTTCTGTTTTTTGCATGACTATTTCCACATCTTAATCTTCTTGGACAAAAATGGCATGTGTTTAGTTGCCACTGAAAATTTACTTCTAATTGTGTCTATAACTAAATGTCTTCTGTTATAAAAACCATAATAAAAAAATCAGGCAACATTTGTTTTTGTTTCTACAAGTGCTTGTAGAAGAACAGCCATCTGCATTTTGAAGAAAACATATTTGGACGACTCCTAGGCAATAAAATTGTCATTGAATGATGTGTAGTGGAAATGGCAGTGCCATTAGAGCTTCAAATGATTGCTGACTACTAGTAATATTTTGATCGTACGAATCACCATTTATAGTAACGATTTTTAGTCCCTATTTAATGTCCTTTTATGCTTATGATTGAAAACAATATTGATATTCCTGTTGTTATAATAACCCATTGGAAGTATAGTCAAATTCCCTGCCTCAACGTCTCATTTGCCTGGCTTGTGAACTTTGTAATTGCTTAGTGAGTAATATATTTCAAATATATTATGCCTATGTAGCTGTTCATTCTCTCTAAAACGGTCTTGAAAAACAAGTTTACTAAATACAGTAAAAGTTGTTGCAAGTCTGTGTGATGTAAAGAGAGCTCATGTATCTATGATTATATAAATTTGTGCAAAAGGGAGAAGTAAATGGAAAGTTCCCTGTCACCTACTATTCTTTCTCTGTTTCAATAGGATCTGGATAATGTCCTGCTGCTTTCCCAGCAGTTCTTTTACTCCCTTGATGTCCTTTTCTTTTGCTTCTGCCAAAGGGCTTGTTTCATATTTTTTTTACCACCAATATCTCTCCATTGCTAATTATATATTTTACTTGTATATTTTTGAATGGCTATATAGCAATTTCAAATCACCCAGACCTTCCAAAAAAGATATATTTGAAGAATCATTTGTGTAGCTGTAGTTGGCTTGTCTGCTGTTGTCTCTCATACTTAATGATAATCTAATTTCCTGTATTAAATTACTATAATTTGCATCTGAGACAGGATTAGTAATTTAGGGATAAGCCATAGAGATAATAATGCTTTTATGCATCATACATTCTGCTTTGTTGAAAGAAAATTAGACTGCTTCATTTTTTGAAACCTGGCCATAATTCCTAAGTAAAAAAAGATATTTGCATTGTAACTAATATTGAAGTATAACATCTCCAAGGAAATGCATTATTTGTTAATTATTATTTTTTATATTGTTGCTGTAGGACAGAAGTCCCCAAGCTTTTGGGCATCAGGGACTGGTTGCATGGAGAAAGGTTTTTCCATGGACCAGAGGGGTTTTTCCGCAAACTGGAGGGAATATGGTTTTGTGTGCTGCCTGCATCCTGCAAATGGGTCTTTGCTTCTTTATGCGGACCAGTTGCTGGCATACTGCGGCCCGGTATCGGTCCATGGACCAGGGGTTGGGGACCTCTGCTGTAGGATATCTTTTAGATTGTAGTCTTCAGCTCATAGACTTTTAAAAATGTTTTCCATCAATTAAATTGTTTTCAGGGTTGTTTACTACAGTTTTTGAAAACATGTAACAAACTTCTTTAATATACATTAACAGCATGCCAGAAAGATGATTTGATTTCTCTTTGGGGTATTTCTCACCTTATTCAACCTTCCGTAATCACTTTGTCAACCTTTGTAATGGGCATAGGAAATAATTGTTATTTTGTACTGTGAGTGGGAATCTAGTGCCATTACCATGACCTGTTTTATATTTTTGGGAAAATAGAACTGTATGCTAAGAAACATAAGTATTAGTTTCTACTAAAGGTTGTCAGTGATGAGAGAAGTAGTTCATCTATGCAAAATGGTTTATTTGTTTGTGCACTTTGTTCCTGGTACAATCATTTTCTTTCTTTAACATAGTTTCCTAGCATTTAAGATACTAGTCTACATTACTGAATTTGGCAATCATTAAGCAATTAACAGCATCTTTAAAGATAATATTTTTGGAATCAAAATTCTCTGACTTGAATTGAAATAATCAATTGGTAATGATTATATTTTTAAGTCACTTAGAATTGCAATTTGTTTGTTTTTATACTCTTCCTTCAGTTTTATTCTGTGTTTTGCATTTCCACTAAAGAAAATATGATTCATGTTATAGAGAGAAATTAGCTGAATTCATTCTCCATTTTCCTGTCTTGACTGAGTTTAAAATGCTGTGCTATAGATTTGATCCCATATTAAAAACATCCCAAAGAAATTTGAAATTTGATAAGATAACCTTTATTGTCATTTTTATACTGTGGGCACAATGGCACACAACAAAAATGAAATTTAGTTGCCCGCTCTCAAAGTGAAACACATACATGACACACACCTAAACATACTATGAACAACATATGTATAGACCCACATCCTTACATATATGTAGCAAATAAATATTAAATATTGTCCATCTTGAATATATAATGGAAGGAGGAAGCTTGAGAGTTCGCAAGGTTAATGCTGTATGGAATGAAATTCTGGCTGAATCTGGATGCTCTGCTTCAGATACCACGAAGCCTCCTCCCAGAAGGCAACACGGAAAACAAGTTGTGAAGAGGATGTGTGCAACAAACGAGCAACAGATATGCATTTAATTTATTCATACAGTTTATATAGCCACCAATAAAACTCACTTCTGAAAAACCATGCCAAGAAAATTGCAGGGACTAGTCCAGACATCTGTCAGAAGTCAAAAACTGACTTTAAGGCATTAAATGAATAAATAATGTACCAGGTGATGTTCTTAAAAGGAAAAGTCATATTTATTATACGTGCATTATGAACTCTATCTAGATCATGTATAGTTTACAAGGGCATGTAATAAGTAAAACTAAGTTGTTGATGCAATGAAAGACTTATGAGGAATAAAAACCAAATAGTAATGAAATGCTTGGTATTATGTTACCTAATTATCTTGCCTCTCTTCTCAGTTTTACTCTTTCTGGATACGTGTCCTCATTCACATTACCTTACCTAGGATTTTCGCATTAGTGATTATGCAGACAATAATGACAGAATGTCATTATTTAAAATTGCAGCCTATTTCATAGGCATACTTATTTATTAAATTGATTTTAATGGTTGTATGGCAGTTTATTATATGCAATTGAAAAGTGGATGTCCATCTTTCTGTGCAACAGGATTACTTAATAAGAACAGATGATTGCTTATCAGCTTAAAGCGTGATTGTTATCAATCAATCAATCTTATGTATCTAGTGAAGTTCATTGAATTTATTCCAGGGTAGTTAGCCAGAGATTTATTCAAGGATAACTACTATATATTAGGATTGTAATATTTTGTATTGCTAGCACCTATTTTGTAGATGGCTTTTTCTACAAGCAGTTGGAGAATAATAAGTAATGAATGAAGGCAGATATATGTGTCCCAGAATAATGTTGCAAGATCCAATCTGGGTCTACACTGGGACCAGAGGTTTACTCTTCTGAGCTTTTAGACTTGTTCTGGACCCCATCCTCAGAGGACCAAAGCACATATTCCAGTAGAAAGAAGTTCCCTGAGGAGTCTAAAAGCTTGGAAGAGTAAACCTCTGGTCCCGGTGACCGATCCAGATTGGATCTTGCAATAATTAGTAATAGAGAAACATGAGTGAATAAAAAAAAGTACTACCACTTGTGAAATAATATGTTCATACATTAATTTCAACTCTACATTGGAATTACCATGTAGTAATAATTGTATAAGTTATACAATTATTATTATATAATTTTTGAATCTGTTTCCATTGCAGGTTGTAAGTTCAACAAATGGAGAACTCAACACTGATGATCCTACTGCTGGCCGTTCAAATGCACCCATCACAGCCCCTACTGAAGTAGAAGTTATGGATGAAACCAAGTATGTATTGCTTTGAAATAATATCTTTGGAGACAGCTCATTTTATGAGATTGAATTTTCCAATTGAAACTCCCATGATATATAAGTTCTTAACTGTGACAAGTAATACATGAAGCCCTTAAACTTATTTTTTTGTTTAACTCTTAAGACGGGTCCCCAATCCCCGGTCCGTGGACCAGTACCGGTCCACGGCATGCCAGCAACCGGTCCGCACAAACAAGCAAAACCCCATCCGCGTGATGCAGGCAGCACACAAAACCCATATTCCCTCCGGATTTGCGGAGAAACCTCTCCCCATAGAACCGGTCCCTGGTGCCCAAAAGGTTGGGGACCTCTGCTCTAAGAGACAGGGGAAATGTGTATGAGAGAAATTCCATTTACTTGTCTATAAAATGGTTTCTTAGTTGAAGCTATTAGACTTTCCAGGCAGTACAATTTCCCCACAATATATTTCATATAGAATATTAGTAGAATAAATACTAGTACAAGAATGTGATAGAGGGGTTTATGCCATTATGCAGCTTGCTGCTGTCTGCAACAGCATTCAGGAAAAAAATTGCCTGAACTTTTTAAAATAATGTACAAAATACTCTCATTCATAATACAGGTGTATTTCAGCAAGGGTGTAGCTTTTATACATGAAAGCACTTCAGAATAGTTCATTTTCCCCTCCTGACGTGCACCAAAAATCTCCAAGTAGTGGGATATTTGTGTATATCTAACCATTTAGCTTTCTTTTTTGCATTGCAAATGAGTCAAGATTGCCATCTATAAAGGATGGTGTTAGTGACAGGCACAATTGAAATTACCGTAAATGCCGGCATACAAGGCGACCCGGCATATAAGACGACCCCCGTCTTTATAGCCGGGCCGCATTCCTAGAACATTGTCTTATACGCCGGAAACTACCAGTATTTCCGGTGTATAAGACGACTCGGCGTATAAGACGACCCCGTCTTTGGCACCGATTTCAGTGCTCGCGGAAGTTGCCTTATACGCCGGCATTTACGGTAACTGAAAATATTTCAATCTCTGGTTTGGAATTCTATACCACATTAAAACACCCAGAAAGAAGTATGATCTATGCAACAAATAAATAAGCAAGACATGCACGTTTGTTGTGCCCTAAACTATTTGAAGAAATTCCTAAACTACAAGCTGAAATATAATATTTTGAATGGCCTTGTTAGTTTGCTTCATTTGGTCTTCATTAATTTAACTGATGTGTTATTATCTTACTCATTACTTGACTATATGACTATATATTCAAAGTTTTCTTTAAAATATACTGCATTCTGATTTTTTTCCCCCCTTCCTTGTATTTTCCTCATATTAGCTGCCAGAAAGTGTTGAACATGTGGTGAGTTTTAAAGCACAGGCAGGCAGAAATAGCTCCAGAGCATTTAAAAACAAAAGTACAATTGGAAAAAACAAAAACAAAATAAATTTAATTGTTTTAATATTGGTCTTCTTTAATATAAGAAACCTGCTAACTTATTGAGGAGCACTTTTGCCTGCTTCAATTCTTATTTGTTTTGAAGTGATGTAGTTTTAATGTATTTTTATCTAATATGCCTGAATTTATGCTTTAATTTTAATTTATGCTTTAATACAGTTGTTTTGCCCATCGATTTGCCATTTTAAAGGGAAAACAACAATTTCAGGTATTTTAATTTCCGCAGTAATACCTTAACTTCATAAATAATTAAATATTTTAATAGCACTAAATTACAGTATATGTTTTCACCCATATTTACTGAGTTGTTAGTGATTGGTAACTGCTAACTAATAAACTCAAGGAACAATTTGTATTTTAGTACATTTCCACATTTCAGTCATTGTACTCACCTCAAAAAGCAGTCTATAAAATATTTTCACTTTTAATTTATTATTGGCAAGTTTTAGTTTTTGATAGAATGACAAATTTTCTAAAATGATGGTTGTTTTTTTTCTAATTTATGAATGCTAATAATTGCACCAGATAGGGAAGCTGTATTCATAATATCATTGGAAGTTCTTTTATGTTTTAAATAATCAAATATTTGGATATAATTAATGAAATTGTATTTGTTGGTTTGAAAAAAGCACCCTACTCTTTAGCCTCTCTCCTCATAACTTCTCATCCTTTTCATTATTAAAACTGAAGGAAATAAATTCATTAAACATTTATTTCCTCCAGTTTTCAATCTTCCATACATGATATAAACAGAAAAATGCAGGTGAAAATAGTGATTTAAAAAAGTTAATTCCTAGCTACTAATCATGACATAAAAGTACCATAAATATATTATAAAAACCATACCTTCAAATATAATAGTGTATAAAAATGTTACAGTAAAACTACAGAAAGCACTTTCAGTGGCAGTGATGTTGCATAAAGCTACTAACCCTTCTAATAAATTATTACACCTTCATTTTTAAGGAAGATCCTGGAGAAGCCATGATAATATATCCTAAGATATCTGTAGGAGAATATATTAAATAATACAATACAGTCGATTATGTCTAAAGTTTCTGTCAATTGGTTTCTTTTAACCTGTTTTTCATGCTTGAAATTAAATTTTAATTGCTGTGGCTAGGACGGATTATTCAAATAATATTTTTTAAAAAATCATGCAACTATATTTAGGTTGATGAAAAATTATCAGTTGCAGTCCCTATAAATACACTTAAACATTTTTAATATATATGATAATATATAATATATATTATGTAACTATATTTAGTATTTATTTTGTATGTTTTACAGATAGCATTATTTTGAATTTATGCTGTATTTTTATATAGTGAAGCATATTTCATTTTCTATGCTACCAATAATTCAGCCCATACAGTCTCCGTATGGTAACCACAATAATTTTGTCTTTTCCATTATATTTGTTTGTACAACCCATCACAATTTACAGAATTCAATAAATTTATGAAATGAGTTTTGTTAGTGGGTTACCAGGGAGTTGAAAGCATAGGAAAAATAAAGTAATGCACACAAATAATGTTCTTTCGGTTGCAGATTTTAGATGGAAAAAAGTATGCATAAGGAAGTTCTAATTTTATCTCCCTATTTATTTATTTATTAAACATATTTGTATGCTGCTGCAAATAAAAAGATGACTCTTGGCAGCTTACATAAAAAGAATACAACCTTAAAAAGAAATAAAATTACAACAGCATAGAAAAATAGGAAGAAAATAAAAGATGGCCACAATAACAACTTTTATCAGGAGAAGACTCTTAAAAATATCTTGATCTTGAGGTGCTTGTAGCAAATCAGTATAGAGGGGGCAGTCTAAATTCCACAGCAAGGGACCATGTCACAGTGTCAGCATTGCAACAGAAAACAGAGACTCTTTGCCTCAGCCTCCCCAGAGTGTGGAATTTGCAGCAATCTTTCCATCTAGATCTAATTGGTCAGTCAGAATTTGGTTGGACAAGGTGGAGAAGGGACCCAGGTGCCAAGCCATGTATGGCTTTATAGGTCAAAAACAGCAACATATAATATATTGGACCTGGAAACTAATACAGATGGACATTCACATAGCTGAAATGGAACAAGTAAGGATTGTGAGGGAGGTAATTGGGTTGATAGGAATATTTGAATTTTATTTTGCTGCTGCTGAGACAGTGACTATAAATCTACCTTCCGGTAGTTATCCAATATCATTTTTCTTGGTGGTCATCACATCAGGAGGGGGTAGTTGATTCCAAATCAAGGAAACTATAATGAGTTTGGATTAGCAGTTGAATGTACTGGTCTGCTGTAATTCTCTTCCACTGTTCAGTCTGGAGGCCAAATGAGTGATATAGCCTTCCATCAGAATCAGAGTTTTGAATTGAATGTTCAAGGATGGGGACTCAGTTGCCCAGTTGTCTCCAGGCATTGTCTTCTGTTTGTCAGCCATTGTGCTTTGTTTTCTCCCATCCACTAAAGAGATAAATATGAAATTGGACATTTAGGTATTTCATTGTCATATGGACAGAAGAGAAGACAAGAAAAAGGAAATAATTACCCTCAGGTGCAGATTTGGTTTGACTGCCATCTATATAAACTTTGTCTGTCTGTCTGTCCATCCATCCCGCCTTTATTGTTTTTTACAAATAAGGTGGCAAACATAACCTTCCTCCTCCTATTTTCCCCACAACAACCACCTTGTGAATGAATTGGGCTGAGAGTGACTGGCCCAAGGTCAAACAGCCTGCTTTTATGGCTAAGGCAGGACTTGAATTCACAATGCCTTGCTTTCTAACCTGGTGCCTTAGCCACTAGACCAAAAGGCTCACAGATTGGATGGCTTTGGCTGGAAAATTTCTCACTTTGGAGAACATTTAGATGCCTAGCCAAGTAACAAGTCTTAAAAGGTTAAAGATCCCATTTTTAACTATCATTCTAAGAAGATAAAAGTAGCTAATTTTTTTAATTGTATACTCCCAAGTAACTAATCAAATGCTTAATACACCATCCAAGTTTTCAGAACAGGCATGATATCATGTAAAATGACAAGTGTGAACACTTTCAAAAGAAATGCTTTGTATTGTAACTCCAATGTATTGAGTAAGAACCCTTTTAAACACATAATACAATATCATGTATAAGGCTAGGATGAAGAGCTTAACATTTGAAGGTGAGTCTCTTTAGTTTGCAATGACGCTTCAGTTGGGGTACAGAGACTACACAATATACTTGCTGTATTGGTTAGAATACACCATTATGTCTATATTGGCAATCAAGATCAAACTAAACTAAACCAAACTATTCCAGCTCCTCTTTTCTGCCACTAATAGCAAGAAACTAGGCCAAAGAAATTCTTTGTTAGTATCCTCCATACACATTTTTTTATTATCAACATTTTCAAGATAATCTTTTCAGAGAAAGTGCTTCCCTGATTTTTTCCTTTTCCTGGTTTTATTTTCATATTATGGCAGATGGTTGGGTTTTGTCCATAATTAAAAATACCTTTCTTCCAGAGATCATCACTGCAAAAAGCCTACTATAAGGCAAACAATGGTTTCTTGAAAAATAATTCACTATTCTAAGCAGGACTAGTTGATTAATCCCATTTAAGATCCATTAACCACTGTATTCATGCTAATAGATTAACATATGTTTGCATTCTCTAATGTAGTTTCTCGGAAAAGTGTTTCCCAACAAATTTCTGTTAAATAGTTCATTTCTATTTCCTGTATAAGGTCTGAAACTTTTTAGAATATTTAATGCATGGTAGAATAAATTAGTGTAGACTAACTATAAGTTTTAATAACAGTTTTAGTATGAATGCTGGCTTCATAGATATTTCAGCCCTTGAGAAGAGAGGGAGAGAAGAGAATTTGGAAATAACAAATATTTAGTACATATGAGAGTGAGGCCCTCTAGTGATCATTTACTTAAGAGCACACATTTCGCTGCAGTTAGTTCTTTTGTTGTATTTAAATACTTTTAACATAGCTGAAATGTTACAGAATGTCTCTAAGCCCAGAAATGATGTTATAATTTAATACATGCTACTCTTCTCATTTTCTTTAGTTTTACAATGAAGCACATCTATATGTCATCCCTTAAGATTAATTTAAAAAAATACTTAGAAAAAGAGCAATTTACAGTTTTCTGGTAGGACAATATGTTTGATATATTTTTAATCATGGTTTTAAAAACTAGGGGATGAGTTCTGATTATGCTTAGCTAACCCCACAAAATATGTTCTAAAACAAGACTTGGTTAAGTCTCAAGTTGATCTGCTTTTTAAATCCCTGATTTTATAATAAATCAGTTTAGAGGTATAAGTTTAAGTCTTGTTTCATACCCTTGAATTTCTGATTACTGTTTATTCAAGCAAAGATTACTTTAGCTTCCTTAGAAATTGAATGAACTTTGCAGAAATAATAGTTCTTTGTAAAATAGACAAAAATGCCAAATCTTGAAGAAATTTTGAGATTTCTGCCAAGTGTCTTTATACATTTGCTATTCATTTAATTGCTGATATTTCTTGGAAGATGCATCCGTTTTGTAGGCAGTACTGACCACAGCAAGAGATCCAAAATGTTAATTTTCAGATGGATACATCTGAAATACAACATTTTTAGAATGTAAGGTGTTCCAAAAAAGATTTGAATTATTCCATTTTGTTGTTCTACAGTTGCCTTAAAATGATACTTCACAAAGAAAGCCATAGCTACTTAGGACTAAGTTTAATATTAATTTGTTTTTGTTTTGCTTGAAACAAAAGTATAAAAATATTAAGAAGGACGGGAATATCCTTCCCAGCAATTTGTATAAACATAACATATGTTATAGATATACTACTGTATAAGATACTTGATCCTTTTCAGAATAGGGCTAGGGAATTATGTTAACTAAAAAAAGTTTCAAGCTCTTTTATTTTGGGGCAATTGGCATCAAATTTACAAGAAGTATAATAAAGGAAGAGATGATAGGTATAGATTGTGCAGTGGCAAAATGACTTGAATATTTATCTTTACCATGCAAGCCCAATGTAGTCTTCTGAAGTTCAACTGCTGTACAAGGTTTTAGTAAACAGAAATGTCATTTTTTTGGCTTCCAGGATCATAGGCAATTTTGTTAATAACATGGTTTTACTTGATGTAATTATCTTTTATAATATGGTCTGTATGCTATTATAAAAACAGCACAAGCAGTCCAGAATGCTTTCCTATTGATAAACTAGTAGGAATGTTCACTACCTTTGTTGTTTGCCAGTCTTAATTCTACAGTGTACTATGAGCATTTAGCTTTTAGCAATGCTACAACAAAAGAAATTAAATAGGTATTAATTACCTAGATATTACCTAGAAATTAATAGATATTAATTACCTAGAAATCCTAGAATTATGGAGAGGTATTTTTACACTTGTCCTAATTTTAATAACACATCCTACTCTCCCAGTTGTCCAGGGGAAAGGAGAATCCTTTTTTTTAAGATTACCCTCTCAAATACCCATAAAATCTGTCCATTGTATTAAAATAATAGGCTAATTGTAATAATGAGACATAAATACTGTAATATTGTTTCTGCACACTGATTAAATCAGATTTATAAGAAAATGCCTGCATTGTCCTTATATTGATATTCTGTTATGACTGTACTATGTCATCATCTATTTAGATGCATAATGGAGTGGCCTATATTATATATCTTCATTTTTAAATATTTTTGTTTGCTATAATGCATTTTAATATTACCTGAATGGCTTCAATTTCAAAACTTTATGAAAACCTATGAAGTAACCTTTATCAAGCATGCTTTTTTCTGTTTATATAAGATTGTTTTTATGAACAATTTTAGGTGCTGCTGTTTCTTCAAGCGAAGGAAAAGGAAAACCATTCAACGTCACAAATGACTTTGGAGGAAAGCAGACGGCGTGGAATTACTCACTTACTCATCTGCTATATCATGATAAGTCATCTCTCTAGTTACCACACATTTTTCCAGCATCATCTTTAAGTGAGAAGATTCTCATACTTGATTTGATTTGGTGGTTCAGCGTATTTTTAATTTGGATCATCTCTCCTGGAAGCTTTAATGCTGTGTCAACATAAAAGTACCTTTTGATCACCAAGATACAAAAAATGCTTTTTTTTTCCCTCAGAAAAATTACTTAGAAAACATTAGCAGTGATTAGCTGAAGACCAGATAATTTATAAACCTGGTATTTGCTAAGGTTTGGGGAATGCTGAAAGTGATTAAAAGAGACAACACTGGAAATAAAGCTATTATTGTCCAAGCATTTAAAATATCTTGCTTTAAGATTTCTTTTCTCAGTAATAGTTTTTTTAAAAAACTTTTTTTCCAGTTGTTGCTCTGGTGGTACTACATTTGCAAACTTGCCAGTTAAAATTATTACAAATATGGTAGAGTCACTGCCTGGTGGTACTAAGACAGAAGCTAGATGAATCATTTGAAGACAAAGCCTAAATGCTGTGCTTTCTAAGGGAGGAGGTGTATCAGTGTTTGTAAAATCTGGGCTTTCAAATCTGCTTTTGTTGTACCTCTAGTTGAGATGCAGTGTAGTTAAAGTGGCAATAGTGCTTGTACTGAAATGCAAATATTTGTATAATGCAAGTTGTGCTTCCAGTTATGTATGACATCAATGCTGAAACATCAACTGAAAGTTGCTTAAGGGTTATAAAACCACACTACTAGGAAATTACTGCAAACATGTAGAATGGGAATCACAAAACGTTAATCAAAAATTATTGTTGAATGACAGTTTTAAAAATGAAGGTCTGGATGTGCCAAGTAATAAACTGAGGTATGTATATTATTGGTTTAAGAAAGGAAAATGGAAGTGGGTTAACCATAATGTTCCTTCAGTGAATGTTAGCCTATGGTTTATGATTGCCGCTGGGGGTTTCTAGAACATTCTTACATTTCAACAAAATACTGCATCACTAAAATACAGCTGATTGGATTGATTAGGTACTTTCCTGATAATTCCTTAAAGTGCCTGTGTTATGAAATAACAATTCATTAGAAAAAGCAGTTCTTCTCTTCCTCCTTCTCCCTTCAGTTTGCTTTGTTTAAAGCCATAATGACAGAAGCGTATGTTTATCATGTTAAGCTGCCAGTATCATAAGGATTTGAGTAAAGGAAATAAAATGGCTAGACAGATTTGTTGACCAAAATGCAAATTATGTGTCTTCTTATAAAAAGGGTTTCCTAGAGCTAACTTTTGTCTATCAGTGCATGCCTTTGGGCATAATTATTTATTTTTAATATCTTATGGTAACATTCAAAATGTGTATTAATTGATAAATGCACACCAGTTGAATTCATTATTGCATTTACAGGGATTGTTTTATAATTTATTTTTCTTAACTGCCAAACTGCATTGTGTTATCTTGAATTAAGCACACATATCTGGCTATTGTTAATCACTGTTTCTGTTAGTGTAATAAATTCTCAATTTACCAACTTGATCTGACCAATAAAAGCATAAATTAGATAATTTAGTAAAAAAAGTTCCACTTGACCGTTTCAGCTGATTTTACTTTAAACACTAAAAGAGGCTGATTTTTTTTAAAAGAAGAAGGTAGGTGGTTAACACCTTCTTTTCAGTATTTGACCAAATTTCTTTTATCTATTATATTTGTAAATACTTGCAATATATTTTTATCATAACCTAGCCGTTTCATTTTCAAGGTTTTCTTTGCCCTGTACAGTGTTTATATGATCTGAATTCCTTACACATAACACTGTGTATATTAATCCAGTTATGGTGAAGATTAAATCAATGTAAAGCTTGTTTGTTTTCTGCAAAGACTGGAATCTAGACATTGCTGTTTAGCAATATTTTAAGTACACCATTTTAATGCTAAGGAGAATGTTCTCACAAACGACTTGGTCAGTAGAAAGTTACACAGTTGTGTTCAGGTTAAATCAACAATGTCTCCATTTATATGCTTTTTCCCGGTCTAAACTAATAAAATCAACATTGCCTGAATGTATGAATAATAAAACACATCCCTGTTTAAAAATATGTAATGGATGAAGAAGAAAAAATAAAGGTAGTTTTTTTTAACCCTTGCTTTCATTCTTTTCATAGCACTGAACTATTGAAGTGATAAGAAAGTGGATGTTTGCAGACAGCTTCACGTATTGGTGTTTTCATTTAACGATTATGCCAGATATCGTAGATATTTAATTTTATTACATACTTTCTAATGTTGAGTGCCTATGCCTGGAATAATAGGAAAGTAGAAGGATATGGGTGAACGTGATCCTAGTATTAAAAATCCATCTTAAACTAGTTTAAAATTCTGAAAATGAAAAAATGGTAGGAAATGGGCCAAAGGGAAGTAGATCTGCAGGGATCAAAGACTCCTCATCTTCGAGAATTGTAGATCCTCTTTTTTCAAGCACTGACACAGAAAGGAGTTTTGGTTAAAAAAAAAAACAAGAAAGGAGAGAGATGGGTGGCAAGGTGGAAAGATAAAATATCATCAGCATACTTTAGATTAATAGTATGTAAAAATGTATGAAGCTCAAGATACCTTTTCAAGTGTATGAGCTTGAAACAATATTCATGTATTCCAAGGGTTTGTTTCAAGGTCAGAACAAAATATGCTGTTCCAAACTGAGAATGAAACTTAGCTATTATGAGCAGCAAATTTCAAATGTTACAGTCACAGAAAACTGAAATGAACCATTCCAACCTTGAAATAGATTGATGCAAGGCTTCCATGCTTGAAACCACACAAAATTGCTAGAGAAATGTACATTTTGATCTTACATTCATGAAGCACATTGGAATGAATTCATTGCTTTTGTTTCTTTGCTTAGCTCAGTTCCATAGCTATTCGTATTGGCAGAGTGCAAGACCTTATTTTTTTAAAAAGAGCTAACTCTAGTGAGGCAGCAACTAGTGGTTCTCAGGCTAGAGAAGACTATTACTTAGCCTAAGGGCACCAAGCAAACTGCCAAGTTAATGCTCATTGGTGGAAGGAAAAAGCCTAGAGTTTAATTTCTGGAATACTAACTTAGAAAAGACTTTGCATGAAAGGGCCAAATCATCTGTATAATATTCTTGTCTACAATAAAGCTGTTAATCTGTTCATCATGCCTAAGAATCTTCTGCCAAGTAAATCTGTTCCTAATATACTGAATCATTGATTTCATATTTAGTATGAGAATTGGGATGAAAAATCCCTTTTGCCCTTTTTTAAAAAATAAGATTTTATTATATTTGTGTGTGTGTGTGTCTATTGTTCTACCTTTTTTGTGACTAGAGGGGGGGACCAGAAATATTTCAAAATCCCACTGACTCTTTATTTAATACTTCTAAATTACTTCCTTAATAGGACACAAATTCAAACTTACTAGGGGGAATATTCCAACTGGAGTTAGAGCTGCTCAAAATAAAAGTCTCTAATAGCTGTGCTGAACTCTAGAAAAATAATATGTTACGTATGAGTAATTATTAATATTCATTTTCTTACCTCCTAGATATTCTCAAAGCATTAGCTCACATATATTTTCTATGCTGAATGAAACAAAGTGAAATCTTTATTTGTACTTATTTGTTCTACTTGTACTAGGTGGTCCTTGGTCAACAACAGTAATTGGAACCAGAATTTGCATTGCTAAGGTTTTTTTTTTCTTTTTACAACCCTTTAATCCTTTGTTTCGGGGTGGAGTCAGGGTGACTGAGTGGAGCTCAGTGTTTTCTGGCTGGATGCCCTTCTTGACATCTATACGGAATTCACAGCAAATATTTTCTCTTTGAACGCTCAACCTTCCAAGTGGGGAGAGAACGTCTTCACCTCTAGGCCACTGCACCACTCAATTTCTATTGCTAAGTATTTTGTTATATAGCAGAATATTATATATGATTATACCACTTAATGACAGAGATTCATGGTTACTATCATTAAGTAGGAATCTTGTGATCACAACTTCCAATTTCCTGACAGCTTCCTCATTGACCTGGTTTGCAGGAAGTTAGAGGGAAGATCACAAATCACAAGCATGTGGCCATAGAATGCTGTGACAGTTGGAAATCTGGGGCAGTTGCAGGGCACCCAAATTGAAATTGCATGACAGTGGAGGTACTGCACCAGCAGAAACTTTGAGGTCTGCTCAAAGTGCTCAAGGCAGCAGAAATTAGCAAAGCAAAGCAAAGGGCAAAAACAGGAAAGCACAGTTCATTGTATACAACAGTGGTTCTCAACCTTTTTAATGCTGCGACCCCCAACTGGTCGTAAGTCGAGGACTTTCCCTTCCCGGGAGTGCCGCGCATGCGTGATGCCACCCCCTGTGCTGCCTGAGGCATAGCTGGCAAGCGGCAGAGACAGAGCAGGCCGACCATCGACTGGGCCACCAGCTGGCCCAGCCCAAGGCAGGTAAGGCACCCAACAGGCCCCACGCGCACCAGCAACCCTCCCTGCGCCTGCTGGCCTCCTGCCCCTGGCCCTCTTTTACTTACATTTTTAGTAGTTTCTCAGCAGGGAGGGGTGGAAACTTCCAGACAGCTCACCTTCGCTGCAGACAGCTTGCAGCACCGTTTGCAGAATGGGACTTTTGGCGGGCTCAGCAGGGCAGAGACAGCCTGGACAATTCCTATTGGCTTTTGAAAGCCAATAAAATTAGATTCTATTCAAGAGAGTCTATTCTATTGGCTTTCAAAAGCCAATAGAATAAAAGGGAGTAGCACAGCTAAGGAAAAGAGGAAAAAATGGCGGACTGCGTTGTTTGGCAACCCCCGTGAAATGGTCGTTTGACCCCAAGTGGGGTTGCGACCCACAGGTTGAGAACCGCTGGTATACAAGAATTTAGCTGGGTAATCCAATGTCAACAGTTCAAAGATTCCACACTCATTTGCACTATTCAGGTGACCCTGAGGGCACAGATAAACCTTCAAGTGGTCTCAACAACTCAGAAACTGAATGCTAATGATCAGATGTCTGCAAGGAAAATATCCCCCTATTCTCCACCATTCAGTCAGAATGAAGAAGCTTCCTGGATGAGGAGCGAAACATCTTCAAGGGAAAAAAAATTCCAGTTGCCTTTTGAAAAAACATCTTTGGGACAACCATGACCTGGATTTCTGCGAATCTCCATAGACAATTAATATTCTTAACTTTATTTCTTAGGTGTTCCGTATACTTTAGTATCTTTAGTTTCTGGGCATACATAGCAGTCCTTCCATTGTCCACCGCAACAACCTTTTGTTGTAAATTGGTTTGAGAGTAACATGTAAAATATGTCTGAACTTCTGTATCTCTGAACTTCTGTATCTTCCCCATGCTAATCTGACACCTTAGCCAGTGCCATGGTGGCGCAGTGGTTAGAAATGCAGTATTGCAAGCTAACTGCCCATTGTAAGGAGTTTTGATCCTGACCGGCTCAAGCCATCCATCCCTCTGAGGTCAGTAAAATGAGGACCCAGATTGTTGGGAGCAATATGCTGACATTGTAAACCACTTAGAGAGGGCTGTAAAGCACTATGAATCGGTTTTTAAGTCTAAGTGTTATTGCTAATCAAATTAGTCTATTAGTCAATTGCATTGACTCTACCAATTTAATGTTTCATTGACCCATTTGATTGAAACATGAATAGATGGGATGATATTCTGTGTAATACTATTCTGTGAATGGTTAAATAATTGTGTTTGAAAGGAAAATTAAATTTAAAATCAACCTTTTGCACACTCCTTACAATTCTCACCTTATAAGTACATGTTAATTGGTAGAAGGGGGCTACAAACACTTACAACCTTCCCTGACTGCTTCCCAATTGATTTTCTTGGGAAGCTGGCAGAAAAGATTGCAAATAGCAATCACATGACTGCTTGACAACTAGTTGCAATCAGATCACAATCATGTGACTATACAATGTTAGTGTAGATGACATTTTGTGACAGTCCAAAGTTTTACAGGCTGTAAAGCACCCTTTCTGAGATGATGGTTAATTTGAACCATTATTAATTGAGTGTGGACAACCTTAGAATGGAGTGAGTAAATTTAAATTATTAAATTAAATTCTAACTCCACTTAGAGAAATTGGAAGCATATTTACATATGGATAAATATGCTCAGGGCTTAACTGGGACTCTGCTTCTAGCATAAAGAGACAGAACTAGGAGTGACATGATAACAGTGTTGCAGTATTTGAGGGGCTGCCACAAAGAAGAGGGGTCAACCTATTCTCTAAAGTACCTGAAGGCAAGACAAGAAGCAGTCAATCAATCTGTTTATTACAGCCATAAGGCCAGACATAATCAAAATATAACAACAGTGACAATTTTACTTCCATATTTACAGAATATAAAACCATCAAACAATCAATGTAATATAATCCAAATTTCTCAAAATAAAACATCATATTAAAATTTTTCAGACCTTGATAATGGTGCGACGTATTGTGCAAATGGTGGCACAAAATTGGGCAACCTGAGTTGATATAAGTAGCAGCTTTAGATAAAATTCATATCCCCTACCTGGAAACTTCTTCAATATCGGATATATAAGAATCTGTCTAGAGTCTTTATATAAAGAACAATGAAGCACTATATGGCTTAGGGTTTCTATAGAGCCATCACCACATGGACACAACCGAAGGTACATAGGAATGCCCTTAAACCGTCCAAAAAGGACTGCCAAGGGCAACGCATCCAGCCTGGCTAAGGTGAAGACAAGAAGCAATGGATGGAAACTAATCAAGGAAAGAGCCGACCTAGAAATAAGGACAAATTCCTGGCAGCTAGAACAACTAATCAGTGAAACAGCTTGCCTTCAGAAGTTGTGAGTATTCCATCACTGGAGGCTTTTAAGAAGGGATTGTACAGCCATTTGTCCAGAATGGTATAGGACAGTGGTGGTGAATCTATGGCACGGGTGCCAGAGGCGGCACTCAAAGCCCTCTCTGTGGGCACACGCGCCGTCGCCCCAGTCCTAGGCCTTCAGCTGGGCTTTATAAAACCTTTTCGCTTTAGGCCTCCGCAGCCGTGTGCAAAAAAAAAAAAAAAGGTCCAATCAATCAGTCAATTTCAACTTCTCGTAGGAAAAAAAAAATCTTGCAAA